CATACTTTTAGTTGAGAACTTCCCACTTCTTCCCCAGAACATATTGTACAGACAGACCATACCCACTGGTCATTCAAAAATGTTTCTACTATGTGAGAGAATCCTAATTTATTATAAAAAAGTTTTCCATGGTATCATACTAAATATATTAGTATTGTTTTCCTTGGAATCTTGTTATATATTACTTTACGTTTTTTAATATAATAGCAACTGTGGGATAAGGATGTAACAGATTGTCTACATTCACTTGTAACGTATCGATGTTCCAATTCGTACGCCATATTGATTTTCGAGAGAGACGGTTAGGCTGACTATAACAGATTCGGATACCACAGGGGCTATTTCATTCTCTATGTGGCGCTTACTTTCGAAATAGACCGTTCAGCCCCAATGCATAAAAACATGTCCAGATACCCCAAGGACCATTTTTCTCCGCACGTCAAGCTGATGTTTGGTCCCAGTCCATCATTGCAGGATTTGGTTACTCTTGAAGGTAGAATTAAGTTGAAAAATTCTTGCACAATTTTCGAAATGTCGGGTAAATTTAATAGAAAACCGACAAGCCACTTTTTTTCCGGTGGTCGAGATTTGGTACTTTCGACTCCACACGAAAGAGTCGTTTGCTTGCATTTCGTTCCACTGAGTCCAAGACAGCTTACTAGAATCTGACACAGACGTCCTAAAGGCAGCAGTACTCTGTATACGATCGCACTTGTAGTTTAGTGAGATCTAAAGGTGTTCAGGCGTGAAATACTGTCTGACCTTGAAAAGGACGCATAGCTTTTTGGCAGTCGTTTTGGTCAAAGTTAACGTTGAACGGTAAGTCCAAACCAAGTAGCCCGAGGTCGTCACATATCGGCACAGGCATATCTCCGAAAGACGGTAGTGAGGTAGAGGTCACACGACGTTTTGTCGAGAAGAGTGACGCATATCGCACCTTCCCAATCAGAAGCCACTATCAGGCTTAGGTTTAACCGTGAGATCATCATCTCTCGTTTGCACCGGATCTTTTAATTTGCCACGTAACTCTCCATCACTGTGTTGTCGTCGGCATAACCCAAGATACCGGGCATCTTCATCAGGTCGTTGATTTTCAGTTACAATAGAGCGGTGAAAAGGACAGATCCTGGAGCTCATATTGATGCCGTGAAGAGCAGATGAGTAGCTATTTACGATTACCTGGATTGACCTGTCCCTTAGAAAAATTCCTTGTACAGAAGCCAGCAGGAATTCCATAATCCGTTCTCGACCTAACCAAAAAAATTTGAGATCTCTTCACCCCAGTTCCTTTTTATTTTTTTGTATTTATTTATTTACACAAAAAAATTATACAAAACATGTTTTAATGCAATGTAACATAAACTACGTTTCGGCGTTAGTCTGGCTGCGCTTGTACATACTTTCGATATAGTAATATTTTATGCCATAAAAAAAGATTATTTGTTATTATCAGGATCATAACAGAATATAAAAAGGAGATTATTATTTTTTATGATACCAAGTGACGGAAACCAAATTTGCGCACCTGGTTACCACCAGGTACCACTTAGGTACCCCTAAGCGACATGCCTGTCCATAGCAGTTCCTATGCCCCTTTGAATCGTTACTATTATTATCTGAGAGGCACTGCCAATGCGCCCGTCACCCTGAGACATAAGTTGACAAGTTCCATGTGCCTGTAATTTCACCAGCACCTTTATTCTTCAAAACCCTGATCGCAGTAATGCTCACATTACTGCTTGGCAGCAGTAATAGATAAAGTGGCATTACTTCTCTGGACAAGCTCTTTCACAAGGAGGTCTACTGCTACTAAATGGATATATGGAGTACAGTGTGGTGATATTCTGACATGGACTGCAATGATTGAGAATTCTCTAAAAATAAAGAAGTGCACACCTGAAAAGAAACTGCAATTAATACAATTAAAAATTATTACTACATAAAAAAATGCTTTCAAAGGACATCACTAGCCTCATATTATTATTATAATAAAATGAGTCACTTATTATGTATGTTGAATCTCATACGGCTAATTGCTTGGACCTTCTGCTGACAACTGATCCGGACTCTTTGGTTGGGCATCCACAACCACACGTTCGAACGTTCGATTCAAGTGGTCTTAGAAGGCTACTCCTCCGAACATATGGCGATAGAGTTCCTCAGGGTTCCGTGCTGTCTGCAACTCTTTTTCTGCTGCATATCAATGATATGTTAATTCCAGGTACTTTTGCGTATGCTGATGACAGCACAGTTGTAGATAGGTACTTGACCAATGCAAGAGTCAGTGGAAAGGAAACCCAGTCTTGTCGAGAGTCCATGGTTAGCCGGTTAGGTTTGACACTTCAGGCAGTCTCCGATTGGGGCAATGCCAATCTTGTCAAATTTAACGCTACCAAAACGCAGGCGTGTCTATTCTCCACAAAACGGAGTCCCTTTGAGTTGACTCCGACTTTTCGTGATATATCCATACCGATAGCCGATTGTCTCCAGCTAGTTGGAATGAACCTATCGTCCAATTTGAACTTCGGCACATTGAATCCATGGCCAAAAATGCAGCAAGGAAGCTTGGGATCCTTTCCAGGTGAGGCGTTACTTTACACCGGGACAGTTGCTTCAACTGTACCAAGCACAAGTCCGATCGTGCGTGGAATACTGCTGCCACCTCTGGGATGGCTCTGCTATATATCAACTGGCCACTTTGGATTCAATTGACAACCGTGTCAAGAGGCTTATAGGTGACTCGGAATTAGTTGAGGCGAAGCTGCAGAGCCTTGATCACCGCCTTAAAGTTGCCTGCTTATCGGTATTTTACAGGATATATCACGGAGAGCATGCGATGGAATTACACGATTTAATTCTGCCTTCCTCTTTCCATTACCGGGGGACTAGGCGTAGGCTTGGGTTCCACCCCTATGTTGTGGATATCCCAAAGATTCGCGCGAAGCGTTACGCTTCTACATTTATATGGCGAATGGCTATGGAGTGGAATTCCCTACCTGCAGACTTTTTCCTGAACGTTATAACTTGGACCTTTTCAAGGCGAGAGTGAATAGGCATTATTTAGGTGTGCATGCTCCATCGTCGACCTCATCGTCACTTTCCGTCAGGTGAGATGGAGGTCAAATGCGCACCTATATTTGATGTAAAAAAAAAGTATATTGCGTGGCAGAGTCAACAAGTCTGATATTACATCAGAAGTGTTAGAAGTGTTGTTATCGTTATAGGTTTTTATCTTTAAAAAGTATTGTTTGTGTATTTAAGAGAGGATTAAGGGATTATCATATTACACAGTTATTGGGTATCAATTTTCTTATTATTTCGCAGCACATTGCTAGATTGTGTGTGTTGATATGGTTGATATCAAACATATTATGTATTACATATTAAGTCTTTAAATGACTTAAGATTTTTTATAAATTGTTGGATTAAAAGCTATATTTTATATTAATTAATCTGTTTACAGAAATTTCGTATATAAGAAAGAGAATAATATAAGACAATTGGATTTCTTATAATTATTAATACAAAGATCGAATACTTGGAAAAAATTCCTTCGATCCGGCCGAATTCGAACCGACGTCTTCTAGCATACCGTGACAGACGTTATACCAACTAAGCCACGGAACGAATCAGCGGACCTCACGAATTTTTCTATGTGCTTGTTGTCGTGTCTTTGTATTTGGATTTTCAACGTA